AGCACGAGAACACTCTACCCTTGAGGATTAAATAAAGAGTTTGGTTTTAAATTTCAAGAAGCAGAGAGCCAGGGTCATTTTTTTAAACATCATCCTAGAACTGTACCAAAAGATTTTCAACCATTCCAAAATGAAAATATTTTTGTTTAACTTCATTGCCATTTATTGCTGTTAGAATCAAAATAAAAAAACACCATTTAATTTATGAAATAGATTAAAATAACTAAAATACAAAAGTTTTAAAAATGAATAAATATAAAAGCAGTGTACAAGTCAAGTTTTCAAGCCTAAAAACAATCTTTCCAAAACTAGGGGTCGACTTATATAGCAGGTATAAAATGCAAGCCTTTATGACTGAGTTATAAACATGTGGGACAGCAATTACTGTACACCACTTATCATTCTTCCAGCAGACTGCCCCAAATATATCCCACTAAAACTTGTTTGGCATATTAACACAGAAATTAATATAAATAATAAAATAGTAACACAAATTTAGTTTTCTATTAATGCTACAGCACCCATTGTGTCCAACCGCTGATACACTAAGTGTAAACACTGACTGATTCACCATTTAACTCAGGTGATCATTCAGACAGCTAGGTATGGTATGCACGTCATTTGCTCAATTTCATGATAATAATGACAGTTTAATGAAACATAATGATAATTTATTGAATATATAGAGTTGTGGTCGACCTATATGGTAGGTATAGGCTACCATAGATTAGCAGCTGATCTCATTGAATCTAGCTCTAAACTCTCAATGGTTACATTCAGTGCTTCAAAAACCAAACTAGTTGCATTCCATCATTGCCAATGGGACCCCAAACTACCACTAATTACAATGAATTAGTATGTTACCTGCCTGTTTGCCTCAAACATTTAGGTCAGGGTTCACTTAAATTTTATATTTGTGTTTCAACATGACAAAACCAAGAAACAAAATTGATGTTGCTTCATACAAGACTAGTTTGGTACCTTCTACAGAAGGATGCTAAGAATATCATGGGCCAAGTGTGTGAGCAATGATAAGGTCTTAGAGAGGTTGCAAACAAGGAGGAGGCTTATACTTAATATCAGGAAGAGGCAGCTGAAGTTTCTGGGACACATAATAAGGAAGGAGGGCATGGAGAATCTGATATTCTGACCAACAATACATTTTATAACAAAATAACCAACAATACATTTTATCTGTGGTCGAAACCATAAAATTGTGTTCAAAATATTTAGATTTTGGTAATAAATAACCCACAGAGGTTGATATACCACTAAACGCAATCAACCAACTAACTCTATACTTCTAATATCTCCACCTCAACTCTGAAAATTTATTTACTAATTATTTTTTTTATTTTCAATAGGAGTAGATAAGTTTTCCTATCATCAAGTTCACACTCCTCCCCAGGCTTTTGAACAACAGGAGAGGTTTATCCCTTGTTCCCTATTGAGGATTCTAAAATCTTTTCATTCTCTTTCACACCCAGTAGCCTCTTAGTGGCATTATTGCCTTACTGGGGGGTGAATTGATTAAAAAAAATATATTTTTGATGTATATTTGAGTGTGTGCATATTGTAATTCAATGATAGATCTAAAAATATTTCTACAATTTTTTTTTTAATTTAAAAAATGATTCTATTTATTACCCATTAACTCACGTTGGGTCCCACATGATCCACAGGAGGGTCATGGTGTTATGTCTGCAAGGTCCACACAGCCCTCCTGTAGGTCATTTTCCAATTTCTTTTATATGAGGATTATTAGGTGTGGGATGCTATGATTGATTACTTATGAGATCATAGTACACCAGAACCACACTTTTTTGCAAATCAAAATTAATATTTTTGATTTTTTGTCTTTTATTTTGTTTTCCTTTTGAAATTTTCACAGTTGATTTTTGGGTCATTTTTTTATTTTTACATACACTGGTTGTGTTGGACTCTGGGTTGTAAAATAGGTTTATGTACCAAGCAACACACCAGTGGGTTGTGGGTAATAAATACTACCTTTGATATCTTTCTCCATATATGAAACAAAGTCTCTTGTACCAAATTTAAGATATAGTGTTGGGATCCTGAGACAAGGGAAATAAGACTTAGGATCCAATGTGTTAATTTCCGAAAAGTTAAATAAAAAAATTATCTGATTTTTTTAGGTATTTAAAAAGTGAAGTATTTTATCTTTCCAACTTTTAGATGTTATTACTCAGCACAGGGTAGGTGTTGTTCACATTGGGTGGAAGGGGAATGTATTATTCTAATACCTTATTTCAAAATCACTCAAACTGTGTAATATATGAGTGTATGTCTGCTTGGGTATAGATTAAATGGCACAAGTACATGTAAGCCACTTATGTACAATACAGAATACTTTACATAAGGGTTGTTTACCAAGCACATCATTGTGCTAGGGCAATTAGCCTATCCCTGTTGCAGACACCTACCCAGTCGCATTTGTGTTTGTTCAACACTCACAGCGTCCACCTGTGGTTAATACTACAGCTATGCTGAGCTACAGTTTCTGGAGAAAAAATAAAAACTGTCATGACCAGCAGTTTGAACAACACCAGTATACTCAAACCCTCAGTCACGATGACATATTATTTTGTGCTAGTACAACAATCAAAAGCTTTCAAATACAGTGGAACCTCAGTTCACAAATTTAATTCATTCCTGAAGGCCGTTCGTAATCCTAAATATTCAAAAATCAAAACTATTCTTCCAATAGGAATCAATGTAGAGAAAAAAAGTCACAGTACAATAAAATTGGAAAAGAAAAACACAGCACAACACACGAATGTATACAACATGGCGGTTGACTCAGAAATTATTCCATTTGAGTTAACTCAGTTTGGCAATGTTGTTCAAGAACCAAAATTTTGTTCGATAACTGAGGCATTTTCATCTCGAATTTTCTGTTCGAAAACTGATTTGTTCAACATGTGAGACATTCAAGAACTGAGGTTACACTGTAGTTCTATCTACCCAATTTCACTCACTCACAAGACTTGGGTCAACCCATGGTATGGTTTTCAGGAACTGTACAAACCAATATCATCAAGAAGTAACCTCCTTGACAAATCGGCTATGATTCAAACACAAGATTTATGTTCAAAAAGAGAACGTTCTAACCACTCGGCCATGCATGCAACACCACACACAGACATTGTAGAATCAACTCTTCTTTTATAAATTTCTATGATAATTAAACTCAAGTACTATATATACAAAGTGTATATAGTGCAGGGTTTTACTAAAAAATTAAGGGCACACAATACACAGGTTTTTCTAGGTGGTGGAGGTTGAAGAGGTTAAAATCAAAAATCATGCATTTTTGGCAAATGCTTGCACTATACACAGGTATAATTTTTTTTTTCTGGAGAGATTAAAAATCATGCAAAATAATTCAGTCAGCCTATACACAAGTATATATGGTAATTTTAATTCTATTAAATAATTTAATAGAATTAACATTACTGTATATATATGTATTTAATTTAAATATATAAACACACAGCAAGAGTTAATTACACAGATTATTATTAATGCTGTAGTAATTCTCACAAGATGCCCCAATTCTGTGGATTTGTTGTGTAACTGTAGCATAAAATTATACTTAAACATAAAATACTTGTAGGACTTCTGGAAATTCAATGAGGTATTATCAAAATGTTGATATCACACAAAATAATCAGTTTTTAATCATTCAGAAAAAAATTACCTTTTTTAAGCTTTAATAGTTTGAAATTTTGGCTGGGCCTTTTATGATGGCAATTTAAAAATTTAATATGATTCCCCACAACTTTTCTGAAAACAATCACTGCTACTAATTTCTGGCTTGCCATTTCATCTCAACTTGAAAATGCTTTTTGCCCGAACACTAACATGAAAAACAATCTATGTATCTACAAAATTTCCAAAAATTTTTTCCAAAAAAATTAATAAAAGTAAACACAAAAAATTTTAAAAATCATATTTTTCTGTTGTGTTTTTTGTTGTTTTTTTGTTTTTTTCCTACTTTCTGTTTACAATTATTATGCTCAGCTCCAGTGTGCAATCCTCGGGCAATGTCCCAGAGGCAAAATGCTAAAGGACCTCTACTGACTAGTGCTTGTGTGTGAGAACGCATCCACTATAATTTATTTATTTATTTTTTTTTTTTTTTTTGAAAAATTAAAAAATTAAAAAATTATCAATCTCTCTAAGTTTGAGAAAGCAATCCTCAGCATAAAAGAAAAGTTCTTTAGAAATTTGTGTCTGTATGGGTCGTTTTTTATGAATGAGAAAAAAGAAATAAAAAGAATTGAAGGGTTTGTTTTTTCACCCATAAAATGATTCTACCATTTTTTTATTTTTTATTTTAGACAGTTTTTAATGAATAATAAACAATCAAGGAGACATTAAATTTGATTTTCGTGTTTCTGCTTTTTCTTTCTTTCTTTTTTACTTAACCAAATGACTAATTGATTAATTAATTTGACTAATTGACGAATTAAACACTGGTTTTGTTGCGTGAGAAAATTAATCCTGAGGACAAATCTCTTGAAACAAATTTATAACGTGGATCAAGAAAAAACGTTTTTTTTTTATTCGTACGTGTTTAGTTTTTTATTCGTTACAAATCACTTTGTCAAGATTTATTTTTGCTTAAACAATAAACTTTCAAGTTTTGTAACTTCAAATTGAGTAATTAAGTAACACGAAAAAAAAACTAAACAACTGTCAACCAATATTTAAAAAGATGGCAAAATAAAATGCAAATAAAATTCATGTTTACTTACTTTAAGTTAGTTCTTAAACTTCTTATTTTAGCAGCTTATTTTCATAATTTGTAAATTCAGTTTGTTTGTTTACGATCGTCCCCATGTTAAAATTTAATCATGTGAAAAATAAAACTTACTGTTTTATTTATTTATTTTAATTGCATCTGTTAATTGTTATAGGCTAACAAAATAAAGTGGAAGTTTTACGGTAAGTTTTAGAAAGGAAAACAAACTTACGTGGTATTGACAGCAGTTGGGTTTTGTGACGATCCACGTCTGTCAAGTGCGTGTGTTGTATGGGAGTTTGCCCGAGAATTTGTGGGCGTGTCATTTGGGACAAGGGGAAATCATTCTCGCTTTTTTTAATGCTTATATCTTCAAGTAAAAAAAAATACTTTTTTAACAGAAATTATTCGATTGCATCTACTAAACTAACACAAATACAATTTTTGTTTTTGTCCTCTCGATGAGACATATTTTTTTACCCATGTGCATACGAAAGCGGTAGTCACTTCGATGTACCCTTTTTAAGTGTCGTTTTAAACGCCGAAACCTGTCCCTATTATCTATCGCTATTTTCATGAAAAGTGCTCAGACGAGCAGTAGTGCGTGCGAAATAATAATAACTGAGGAGGACCGAGGAAAGAGAAAGGAACTCATGAGCCTATGTGAAATTTTCTTTGGACAAATGAAAAAAATTCTTGCCTTCACAGAGATTGACGAGTGAACTGAAAAGAAGACGGAAATAAATTCGCGAACCTATGTGAAATTGTTTGTGGACCAATGAAAGCTTTGTCCTCACAGAAATTAGCCGTTGAGCCAAGAAGAAAGAAAAAAAAGCAACGAACCTATGCAAAATTCTCTTATATATATATATATATATATATATATATATATATATATATATAAAATTAGATGAAAATTAAATTAATAAGAGAAGAAAAGTGTTTCGTTTCTGGTCATGGCGTCCAGCATTGAAGTTTTCGCCAGTGTAAAATTACTTACTAATTATATCATCGACCTTTAACCAAACCCGTGACACTTCAAAGAATCTTCTTTCATCAATTCAAGAAAGCTAAGTATTTCAAAATACCTCTCTTTGTCTACTTTTTAACGTATGCAAACCATACATCTGTAAGGGCCTATTGGTTGAAAGATTTATTTTTGGAACATTGGGGTTACCAATTGTAAAGGTGTCTGTAGATAGACCAATACTATTTATATTATTATACTTTCAACGTACGGGATTCAAGTAAACAACAAAAACTCCAAACTGTGAATCAACAAGTATATATTGAAATAACATACAAGAACAAACATGCAATAAAATTGTATTCAATGTATAGATTAAGGGAAAGAAGTTGTTTCTCTTTAATTGTATTTTAATTTGTAATTGATTGTTCGAAGAAAGTTCTTTTTGAGAGAAAAATGTTCAAGAATCAATATTAGAACAAAGGTCTGTTTGTTAGAATAGATAACACAAGAATACAATTGATCAAAAATGTGTTGTGTTATAAAATGGTTCGAAATCAACAGAGTCCTTGGCTAAGTCAAAGAGAGAAATGTAAGTTTATATTACGACAATCTGTGTCTGTGTGTGCGTTTGAAATGTTATGAGCAAAATCGTGGACTTGTATGGACAGGTGAATTTTACTGGATCTTACTGACGACTTATGAAAAAGTCGCCTCTTTTATGGAAAAAGGGTAGGCTCCCACGACAACGCGGGTGTTATACCAGAACATTACCTATTCTATTGTAATAGACTCTCCCACACATAATAAGTAGTAGTAGTAGTAGTAGTAGTAGCGGTCGCCAGTTGGGCTCAGTGGTGTTGAGTGAGTCAGTCGATGTCGGACATTGAAGTATCAACCATCACAACTAGATTGCTGCGTCATTAACTCTTATTTCCAGTTCCTAACGTTTTGTACGTGGAACCTAATTTAGGACAACTTATTGAAATACAAGCCTCCACTGTGAAAACTACTCTACAACAGCGGGAAAACTTAATCTTGCACTAAAATATGTGATTAGTTAAAAATTAACCAATCACTACATTCGTAGTAACAGAACAAGTAAGCAAGCTCAAAACCGAAGGATTCAAAGAAACGATTGCGATGGCTAAATTGTCCTATATAAAAGTAGTAGTGATTTATTAGCCAATCACAGGCGAATAATATGTGGGCGTGGAAAAACATAGCAATCGCTACACATCACTTCGATGGGAAATATAAACTCTCTTACCTTTGTTTTAAACATTTTTAATATTATTTTATGTAGAGGTCTGTTTATTGAAGTTACCTCTAGAATTTATTTTTACGCAAAATACCACAAAATATAAAAAATAAGAAGGAACACAAAAACTGTTTTTACAACAAACAAAATTTATATTTATGTATGTCAATGACATACAAACATAATTAATAGGAGTTACTTCTCTTTGACTGGAATTAAAGTCTTCACTAAGGAAATATTTTTATCTGAGCTCATAGAAAGTTGAATGAAATTGCCGCTCAAAATGTTCATTGTGAGAGCGTTGAAAGAATTCTGTAAGGCTGAGAATATGTTGATAAACTTTTAGCTTCAGAAGAGTTGAAAGAGTGAATGTTCCGTAATGCTTGTAATTAAGTTTCTGTTGATTGTAATGTTCTGTAATGTTCCGTACGTACGTGTATGTGTGCGTGTGTGATGGCGTATCATAGCGTTCGCCCGAACTGAGTCGAAACGCGAGTTCTTTAGTTCCTATGTAGACTCGTCCTTTTCTACCTATCACCCCTAGTAACAGAACAGTCTATACCTTACGCCTACGTACGGAAAACTTCGACCAATAAAAAACCGTACTAGTCGAATCAATAAATCTCATTGGTTAACGACACAATAATCTGAAAGTTTCACGTGCAAAACAAAATTGCGCCAAAACTTCTTTGAGCCGATTTTGGACTTTCGAAACATATAAAAGAAAATACCGACTGACCAAAAGAGTCAGAGACGAACATCCACAGAGAAATTGCCAACATATTCCACGTCACTCGAAATCACGATTTTACCGCGCAAAAGTACATCAACGCTGACTCACTTGCAATTTAAACTCGACCAACTCTGTGGACATCAAATCGCAAACCTAAAACAACTTTGCTTATCCAAAGTGAACTATACTCACTACATTATTAAGTAAAAAATCAACATTCGAACGATTCAGAAATATTACAGTCAAAGGTAGACCACTCTATAAGAACTCATTCCTAAAAACACTTAACATCGACATTTTTTATATTAATTAACACAATTCCAGAAAGACTGTAACTGAACATACAAATACAAAAAGAGACATACCGAAACCTCAAATATCACACACACTTTGCCATAGTAACATATACCAAAATATCCTGTATATATATATTACTTTTAATTGTATGTAAATGTTTGGTTGGTTTCGAAATTGAATATGTCTTGTTTTTGATTGTATTTAAAATTCGTTTATTTAATTGTTTGTGGAAGCAGAAAGTCACGCAACCTACACAAATTCCTTCTGATTCACTCAATTACAATTAATTAATTCTGCACATCCCCAACAACTACATCTTGTATGTTAGAGAAAGCAAAAGAGACCAAAAGAGAGAGAACGAACTTGTGTCAAGGTATTTATAATCATGTGATAGGCTCCGAAGAGCGTTTCTGATTTTTGGCGGAAAAAATGCTTTGAATAACGGGTAGGCGTTGTATGGACGTAGGCGAGAACATGATTTTAATGTTATTTATTAATTACTGACACAACTTCAAATGTGTAAATTCGTAAATAAATTCCTTATTTGTTTTGTTAAAATGATCCGTGTGTTTCCTCGTTATTATAATCCTTCATTAATCTTCTTGGCGTGGGTAATTCAACTATTCATTTTAATCCCTAAGCCCCATGCCATTATAGAACTACATTCCTTAGTTCCACCAATTCTAACCTTCACAGCTAAACCACGCCATGCCACGCATATTCTAGCGAACTACCCTCACACACTTCGTATTCCATTGATGAAATATAAATTCCACTTGAGCAGTTACTCCCCATGACTTCTCACCGACTCCCAAGAGGATGTTTCCCTGTTCACTACAATTTTAACCTGTTCAAGTCTATGGTTAACGGTTATGTTCATCACATATCCCTTAAACTGTGCCTCTTACTCTGTAACACTCTACTTCAAGTGGCTCTTGGACCTTGTACAGGGTGAATACCATTGTAAAAAATACTTTTCACTTTCTTTTTCAATTGTACTCTCTAGTCTGCTAAACCAGCTACATCCACGATCTAATAATTTTGTTTTAGTATTTACAATGACTAAATCTGGTTTTTGATCAGGGATGGCAGATATGTTTGAATTTCAAAGTCGCGGAGTTTTTTTTTTGGGGGGGGGTATATTTAGTGGGGTTGTGGGAGTTACCTCCTCCTTCTATCCTTGAACCGGCAGAGGAACAGGTCATTTCGACCTTGACCTCTCATTCATGCTCCTTACACACTGTTAACACGTCGGAGGGACTAGCAAATCCCCTTTTTTGTTAGGTTATATTACAAACCTAGGTGTAATATACTACTAGTCATTTTTAGACCTTAGTTCTCTTTAATTAACCTGTAGTATTTTATTATAGAGACTTTTCGGACGCACCACTTAGCCAATTTCATAAGCTGGTCTACCCCTTGTCACAAGACAGTGATTTGAAATCTAGATTCTAGGAGGCGGTCGGCGACCGAAACGGTAGGCTACGGCCAAAATTTGGTCTTTGTTGGACAAGGACGCTGATCACCGGGCTGTGTATTCAGTTACGCTCCATTGACGATAGTTGGGAACTTTCTCTCTCTCTCTCTCTCCTTCCCAACACGTCAAGTTGGCATCCCGAGCAATGACAAACAACAAGTTGGCAACACGAACTACAGCAACAAGTTGGCACCCCGGCAACGACAAACACGTCAAGTTGGCACCCCGGCAACGACTCAGCTTCAACAACCAACAACGATCATCCTGGCATCAACCAACATCAACTTCAACAACCACCAAGCGATCATCCTGGCAACAACCCACATCAGCTTAGAACCCCCAACAACGATGATCCTTAAATTACCAATACCAACCTAGACCATCAATGCCTGCACTAAAACTTCTGCACCTCCACCTTTCCGACCATCTTTATTTCCTTTTTCTTTCCCTGAATAAATTAGCATTTATCATACATATCCTCGTTCTGTCGTCTATATTGTTTCACCGTCAGATTTAACGTCAGAAAAAAATGTCAGCGGGCATCTTGTGACCTTGTTCACCCCTTTCTGTGATACGGGGGCCGCACGGGCG